CCAAGTTTTAAAGAAAGAAAACAAAAGTCGTCAGTCCTTTTAAGAAGGAGAATTATGATCCCCGAAAATGGTAGAACTAAAGACTGTCAAGCACACTGTTGACTTGATTTCTCAATGTGTATTACGAACTAATGCCTTGTTTAACAAACTTTCTATGGTATTTATTAGTGAGGAGATGTTTCAAAACCTTACCTATGTGAAAGCCGTGTAAGTGCTTCCATTTACAGAAAAAAAGAGGACTGGTCCTGAAAGTTTACCAAAGTCACTTGCCAAACAAATGTGTTTGCCTTTTAACCTCGTTAAACACTGTTCAGAAATAACCAGCAAATATGAAGAATGTAATGAATGTCTTTTCAGTCTTAACCAGGAGTACTCCTAATATATGCATTTCCCTTAAATACAATCACTGTTCTATACTTTTAAAGTTGTGTCTTTTCCACACTAACTTCATCCATATCATATTTTAGCAAATCAGTGTATCTAGTTATTTCATGCCTCATACATTTGCTGATTTGGTATCACCATTCATCTTTGAAAAATGAGGATTTTTATTGTATACATCCAGTATACATATATATTTGGAAACTATAGTTTTGTTTGAATCATATAGGTTAACTGTACACTTTTAGTTTTGTCCAGTGGCTATTTGAATGTATTACTGAAATCCAGATTTAACAGTGAAAACCCACTTGTATACATTTTTATGGCCACTGAATTCAATAATCTGCATTGGAAATTACTGAGAATAAGGGTAAAAGCAATATGTTTTAAGAGAATGTATAAATATTTTTGATAAAACTTGTATATTTTAAGCCTCTTAACACTATGCTGTACCTCAAAAGTTAAATGTCTTTGACCAGATGCTGTGTGTTTGCTTTACAGACTTTAATGTAGTTTTTGCTAGACGTTCTGTAAGAACAAAATCATTTTTAAATCTGTGGAAAATAACATTCCACTTTGTCAGCATATGTGTTTGTGATCAACCTCATTTCCTAGTACCAGAAGATCAAGAATTAGCATGAAGTTTTTAATTAGTAGACTTAACTGCTCAACCTGGAATGTGCTTCAGAATAGATAGTCACATACAGGGCTGATTTTGCAGGAAAGTAGGGTAACACCAATGAGGGGTTCTGGGGAGGGTTGGGGGGTATTTTTTCATAACCGGTTCCATCACACTCCCTAAACTATTTTATTTCAGTGAGACAGCTGAGGGCTCTATTCATATTTTAGAGCCTTATAAGAGTATAAGGAATAAGATGGTTACCAGAATAACAAGTGTAAATTCCTTCATAAGGAAGATGGATAAGAATACTTTTTTATAAAAATCATGAAAACTACTAACTTGCAATTTTAAAAAAAATTGCACTACCTACCATGTGTTCAGTATGCTAGTTTGGGTTTTTTTTTTTTTTTCCTTCATTTCATTTCAAATAGCTATATCTTAAGCAAAACACTACATACCTGAGGTACAGTCTGCCAACCCTTTTTCTTCCTTGTTATTTCTATAAAGAGCTGGGTCCCTAGCAGGTGCTTCAGATTTAAAATCCTACAGAAATAACTTTTTGTAAGTATAAGTTGTACAGAAATGTTTGTAATCTTGAATTTCTGAAAATCACATTAGAGGCAGGGTATTTTCACAATTAAGCTGAATGAAAGCACTAATTTTATCTAGTTTTAAAAATAGGCAAATTAAGATTTTAAACTCTAGATTGTAAATATATTTTGCTATACATATGTGGCTGCTGAAGCACTTTGTAAAGAAATTAGGGTATTTTAGAATGGTACACTATGCATTAAAATGAAATGTGCCTTTAACAGTGTAATAGTACAAACTGTTTTGCAATTAACTCTCAAAATTTAAATAGTGAAATTTGTATAGGAAAAAACAATTTACTGATTTGAATTATAATCTTGTGTTTGATCTTTAGATAAAATGATGTCTTTGGAACTTTGCTTGAATTACCTTTTTCTTTCAGGGTGGATAAATAACTACTTTGCTTTTTAAACATTTAAAAATCTCCCTTAGGTGCCATCTTCTAATCAAAGCAAATAGCTTATAGAGCTGCTTAGGCAATTCCTTAATGGTTCGCTTGGGAAACTGATATGGATTCTTTGTTTGAAACTCCTGTGCAGTATTCAGAGGGTAAATTGGAAGCTGAAGTTATCTTCAGCATATGACTTCAGCAGGAAGGGGTATCTCACACACACACAGGCTGAATTCAAACTTTACACTAAGCCATGCTTTATATTAATTACAGTAGCCTAACTCACCACCACTATGACAAGATTCACATAATCCAAAAAGCCCAAAATACATTAGGTGTAGCATATTTATATTACATATTACCATTCATGGGATGGGAAAGGGAGACTAAGGCTTGCACTGAACGCTTGGGAGGACTTGGATTGTTATGAGGTGCTGCTAAAGATTGGTCCTAAACTAATTCTCCTCAGCTTTTATCTCTAGCCATTCTTTCTTGCCAAAGACTCTTTAAAGCTGCTGCTCCTCTCTCACATGTATAAAATGAGACTGTTCTTTCCTTATGCATTGTCTTTTCATTATTGTGCCCAAGAGAAAAGCAACTGAAAATGATTATCTGAAATACACTGAGACCCTACCAAACCATTCATTGACAGAAACCCTTATTTTCCAATTACCTTAGATCAGCATGGATTTGTCAAGAACAAGTCTTGCCAAGCAAACCACATAACTTTTTAATTCAGTAACTTCCTTAATAGATGGTGGGAAAGCTATATTCATAATATATCTTGTTTCTTGAGAAAATATCCAACTAGATTCTGATCAGAAAACTAATTTTGAGCTGGATGTAATGACAATTACAGGTAGTTCCTGAGTTAAGAATGCCCAGGTTACAGATGACCCATAGTTAAGAATGAAGACTATTGTAGCAAAATTTGAGTTAAATACACGATTTGAGTTAAATACACAATGGTTAGGTTTAATTACACAATGCTACAATAATACTGTTTTGGCTTACATACAAATTTGCCTTAAGGACAGACCTTGGGAATGGAACTCATTCTTAAACTGGGAACTACCTATACATAGATACATAGCTGGCTTGAAAATTATACTCAACGGCTTCTCATTAATACTGGTATATGAGGTGGATGCAATACTTTTCCAAGTTGTATAACACAAAACTGTATGATATAGCTAAAATTCAAAATAGATAAAGCAATGGACTGATAATGAAATTGAACACATGCAGAATTTTTCGTTTAGGAAACAATCAAATGCATAGGTATAAAATGGAGAACACCTGGTTTGGTAATTATACTTATGAAAAAGATACTGGAACACTAAGGTAGTAGAGAATTCTGCATTGGTTGGACCCTAACTCATGTCCAGTTCTGGGTGCTGCAGTTTGATTCAAACAATAGAACATGTTCAGCTAAGGTCAGGATGACCTAGAAACTCCTATGAAGGGAATTTGACAAAACTGAAACATTTAAGTTTTGACAAAAATTAAAAATGTAATACAATAGCAAACTTCAGATACCTGAAAGTATATCAGGGAAGCCAGTCAGATATGCAAGTGAATTTAAAGTATAGAAAGGCAGATCCTGACTGTTCCGGGGGAAAAAAAGTCCTAATAATAAGAGCCACCAGTGGACTATCCTTCACTGGGTATATTCAAGCAGAAGCTAAAAGGGGGTTAATTTTGATTTCTCTACTGAGCAGAAGATTGAATTCCATGGCCTAAATAACCCCTTCCAACCCTACAATTCTGTGCTCTACATGATAGTACATCTTCATGCTGCCGAGCAATTAATATTTAAGTCAATTCAAGACACTAGGATGATTTAAGCCCAAAACATGGTTTCTTCTTACCTTTTGGCTAAAATTAATCCTCCCTTCTATAGGTCTGGACCCATTAGTATTTAGAGATTGTTTTAAATCATCATGGTTTAATAAAGCCCTAGATAAAAATCATTTACTGGGCTTCTCTATGAAGTCTGTACTCGTGAGGTTTTGACAATGCTAGAACTGCCCTCAAACAACCAATTTGGGATATAGATCTCCAAACAAATTTAAGCAAGGTGTCACATCCCATTATTTATCAGATTCTTCCGAAAGGGTTTGCTCCAGCCTCTTATCATCCATAACAATTCTGAAATTTTGTATCTTCAGCTAGGCTGGATGCATTGCCCTGAGCTGTCCTTTTTGGATGTTTTATGGGTACTCCCAAGTCTCTCTGGTTATGTCTGTGTGGTGATGGCTCAAGCCATATTCTACTATGCTACCCACTATATAAGGACTCTAGACAGACCTTCATTTATCTGATCTTGAAGAAACTTCCAAGCACTTCTTTTGTACAAGGACTCAAAAATATCCTCCGAAGTCATCTGATTTTTGTCCTACCATCTGTACAATATGTCATACCATTAAGTTTGGATACTCATTTATTGATCACTTCTTATACTATTTTTATTTTATTATATATGTTATTTTTAGATCCTATTTTACTCGTTGATTGATAGATAGAGATAAGATAGATAGATAGATAGATAGATAGATAGATAGATAGATAGATAGATAGATAGATAGATA